AACCAATTTGTTCAACAACTAAGCCCTTCGGGAACCAAGGTACCACTGTACTTCACCCCTTCCTCACTTCTGTTGCTGGTTTTTCTCATCTGAACCCAGGCTGGTGGTTTCTTTCTCAAACAAACCTTGGCTTACCATCAGATCTGGAAGCTAGAACGAAGCAGCCCATGGCTTGTACCCTGGTAGCAGCAGAAATGGGGCAGCAGCCGCCCAGCGTGCTGCTCATCCACATTAAACCTTAGTTTATCTTACCTATGGCTTAATGTGATGTGTAAACCAGCTAATTCCCATGCTTTTTAATTTTGAAATGGCTTGCATAAGAAACCGGTTTCAATGTCAGAAAAAAAATATTACTTTTACTAAAGGAATTTGAAATATATTTCCTCCAAATGGATGATGGTACTCTTTTGATACAAGCAATGCTATATTCTAAATATTTAGCTAGAAAATTTTACTCCCCCACAAAATACTGCAAAGCATGTGCAGGAGTATTTAGCTTATCATATTTTCTTATGCTTTCCCCCACCTGCAGCTTCTCAGAAGCCAATAACAAAATTGGACGACAAAACTCTGTTTCTATCACTTTAACAATATTCTTTTGAAACCCAGCCTTCAGAATTCTAAATGTACCACAGAAAAGCCTCTTTTTGGCAATACTTGGTTTTGCTATCAGAAAAAAATATTTTAGTGGGGAATATATTAGCCATCTTTATTAGATATAGGAGCAGCCAACCATTTGACTCAAATCCCCTCAAGAATGTTCTGCAGCTATTTTCTCTCTTCCCCACCTTTGAATGGCATGAAAAACTTACATCACCAGAAATGTCTGTCTGAGACCCTGCATCCAAAGTCTGCCTCGAGAGAGAGAGCTGAGAGTGTGCTGGACTGCACCTCAAATCTGGTTCTGATCTGCCAAAATTTTGATTGAGGAGGAACCTCTCTCTCAGCTTTGCAAGACTCTGAAAGGAAACACAAATAATGATGCACTTTCATGCTTCATTTATTGTAAAAGATTGACACACAGCAAAAATACATTGGATGGGGGAGCAGGGAAAAGACAAACCATAAAAGGAGAAACGGTATAAAGAGCTCCCTCAACAGTTAAACATATCCACTTAGGAAATCAACTCAACTGAAGGTTGATCATATTTGCATGAATAAAAGCATTACACGCATATCACAAAAATAAGCTACTACTTCAAGAGGACAACAAAAAACCATGAGTAGTCAAAACAATCAAACAAACAAAAAAATTGCAAGAACATTTACCACTACAGTTGTAGGGTAGAAATTCAAAAATACCTGCATTAAATCTTGCTTCTCCTTCTCACCAGAGCTTATAGCCTTTCGGATAGACTTTAATTCATTCACAATGGCTTTGGCTTCACTTAGTTCATACCCACTCTGGCCTCCAGACATTTTTTGGTCAATTCTGTAAAACAGAGACACTAGGGGTAAATGCAGAGAAACAAATATTGTTCTCCAAATTAGGGGAAAGAATAGGTAGTTCTAAAGATATTGTTTCCCATAGCATAGTAAGGATCCAGCTACATTGGCAAAGAAAAAGAGCGTTATATGAGTTGTTTATGCTTTCTAAGACTGTGACACCAGGTGGCGCTGTGGAGTTCCGTTTTTGCCAACCCGATTTCTGGCACCCACAGCACTTTCTCAAAGTACAAAATGAGCCCATTTGTCCAAAAAGGTTGGTGACCCAGTGCTAGGCAAACATTTTAAAATATTCATTTCTAGCCAGACTGGATACTTTCCAGAGGAACAATTTAATATAACCCATACAAGTTTTTAAAAATATTGTTATTGATTTACAATATCTATCTCCCCATCATTCATATTCTCAAAGTAGTTTGCTTAAAAAGGTAAACACAATAAAAATATCTAACGGAAAATATATTAAAACCACCATTTAAAAGCCATTATCAACAAACCCAAGAAAACAGCAGCCTTACAGAAGCAACAAAAAGGAAGTGATGCAGCAAACTAGAAAGAAGCAGCAGCATTTTTTAAAATCCTTGGTTCCTTCCCCCTTGCCCCCGCTTCTTCATCTATCCACTTCAGTAATAAATTTATGTTTTTCAACAGAAGGATGCACCAACACTTCAAAGATAAGAAGTAGTCTTCAACTTCAAGTACACATACAATATCTTACACAGAATGCACGCATTGAAAATGGAATGTTTTAACCCTGACATTAAGCTCCCAGTGTTAAAGAGAGTTTAAAATTGTACACATAGTTCGCTATGCTTTAGAATTCATGGAAGAAAAGTGCCTCCGACCTAGTAACACAGGTAGACAGGCAGATGGCTACTTGATACATGCACAGGAAATTAAACATTATCTGTTATAGGAAGCTAAGTTTTCCAAAAGGTGAACACAAGTTCACAAACTGTGAGTGACAATTGGCTCCTATAGAAATCCATGGCAAAGCTCCAATTGATTTGAATGAGAACCATTGTGGACAAGATGCAACCATGGTAGCACATTAAAATGCACTAGAGGCTTGCAGCCAAAGATATAGCAAACTATGCAAACTCAGGCTCTCTTACGCCTCTGTGGCTCTTGGCCACATGAACTTTTCCTCTCTGCCAGTTCTCCTCTTCCTCCAAGACATTTGCTTGACTTCTTGCATTCTCCTGTAGCAGTCAGTGCCTCTTCCATGGTTATTTTTGTAGGGTTCTGATTCTTTTAGCCCTCACCCCCCATGATCTTCTACCTTGCTAGCAGGTAGGATAAGAGCACTTAGCCAATCAAGGCCAGAGGCTCTTTTGACTGAGACAATCATTACAGGAGGCTTTTATCACCACACTGCAATATGGAGAGCAATTGTTACTTTGCGGGTAAAGCCATTTGCTCTCTGCAAACAGAGCAAAATAATGACTGGCTGCTTCTTGGGTTATTGTTGTCAAGACATAGGTGCATTCTTGCAAGCTGAATCACGCTCTCTCCAGATATGTGTAAGTATAGCAAGAAAACCAGAAAAAACACACATTTATCTCAGACAGAGGAGTCTATAATTTCCTCTGGTTGGATATGCAGATGACACACATCTGATTGCTGCTGTTCACAGGGGTTCCTAGCTAGTCCAAACCGAAACTGTGGATGGTTTTAACTATGGGAAGCAAGCCAACTTCAATCAAGTTGGGATGGGGAACCTGTGATTCTCTAGTCCGTGGCAGATTTTGGGATCTCATATTTCAGCGGTGCCCTGTGTGATGCAAAAATTCGGCACCCCTTGCCTCTCGCATTCTGTTCTACAGCCTTGTTGTGGCATCCCCTGCAGCGCAGCACCCAGTGCTGCCACACCAGTTGCAGCACTCTAAAACCGCCTCCAGCATCTTAAAAAGCAGAGACATCACCTTCCCAACAAAGGTCCGTATAGTTAAAGCCATGGTTTTCCCGGTAGTGATGTATGGAAGTAAGAGCTGGACTATAAAGAAGGTTGATCGCTGAAGAATTGATGCTTTTGAATTGTGGTGCTGGAGGAGACTCTTGAGAGTCCCATGGACTGCAAGAAGATCAAATGCATCCATTCTTAAGGAAATTAGCCCTGAGTGCTCACTGGAAGGACAGATTGTGAAGCTGAGGCTCCAATACTTTGGCCACCTCATGAGAAGAGAAGACTCCCTGGAAAAGACCCTGATGTTGGGAAAGATTGAGGGCCCAAGGAGAAGGGGACGACAGAGGACGAGATGGTTGGACAGTGTTCTCGAAGCTACAAACATGAGTCTGACCAAACTGTGGGAGGCAGTGGAAGACAGGAGTGCCTGGCGTGCTCTGGTCCTTGGGGTCACGAAGAGTCGGACATGACTAAACGACTAAACAACAACAAAACCGCCTCTGCTCCAGATGTTGCTGGATTACAGCTCTCATCTTCCCTGACCCTTCTCCATGCTTTCTGGGGTTGGTAGTAGTTGGGTTCCAACATCTGGAAGGCCACAGGTTTCCCAGCCCTGTCCTAAACCACAGTTTAGATTAACCATAGTTCTGAGTTCAGACCCAACACACTGTGGCTTGCTGAAAATGGAATTGAAATCTTCCCATACCTTCCTTGTGGCCGCTCAGAAGGAAAGGCACTCAAGCCCAAGACTTGCAATGCTAAACCATTAGTTCAGCCAAAGACCACATCAGGATCCAATTTAAACATGCATAACTGCCATGGATAGTGAACATGTAGTCCCTAATCTTGTTTGATTTTACTATCTTTACCCAGCTAGGGTAAACAAACCCCAAAACAAGTGGAACTGACTGTGGTTTTGTTGCATGCTGAATGTCTGCTGCTGTGGAGTATGGTGTCTCACATTTTAAGCTGCCATATCATCACATATATGGCAAAAATGAATAAAATGGCTCTCCAGCACACAAGATATTCTGACCTCCCAAAGTGGCTGTCTGAATTTTTCCAACAAATGTCCATTGTTTGCTTGTGGTATGCTGCTGAAAGTTTCCCAAACATGTTTTAGATTCCTATCAAAATTGCTTGCAAGCAAGTTGCTTTAAAACAATACTTCATTGTTACAGTAATGTAATAAAACCAGCATGTTTGGCTAAGCTTTAATCTTGGGATAGTAGCAGAAGTTTCCAAGCTTTGGATATAGGTCTCCAACCGCAAAAAAAACCCCTATGCTTTAAAGGATAGCTAAATTATGGTTAAATATGTACCTCTTCATTCCCTCCCAACAACTTTTACTTAGATTCAAAAGTATTACTACTGTAAATTGTGTGCAAACTTTTCTTCTATTCGACTTCACAGTCTTCCAACATATGGGTGAAATGTGGTATGTCTTTCCAGCCCCTTAACTACCACATCACAAAGATATCTAAAGTCTCAACCAGTTGTAAAGTTTAATCAAAAGTTCAGCAACAGACAGACTAGGAATTTCCTGCCTCATTGGTTACAATCCCAAACATACCTAACAGAAAGTGGTTCAACTTAATTCCAAGTAAACACATTTAAGGGTGTGTTGTAAATTCTAACCCTAAGTTCCTTGAAGAAGGCCCATAGCTCAGTGGTAGAACATCTGCTTTGCGTGCAGAAGGCCTCAGCTTCAATCCCTGGCATTTTCAAGTTGGACTGAGAATGTTTCCCATCTCGAATCCTGAAGAACCACTGCTAGTCAGCATGCATAATATTGAGCTAGATGGACCAACGGTCTGACTCAGTATAGGGCAGCTTCTTATGTTCCTATAAATTTAGTACCTATTATTTATCATTATTAATTTTATTTTGCCCCGCAGCCTATTTAGACTGCTGCTTTTTCCTTTTCAGAGGAGCGGTGGTCTTCAAGTACAGTGGTATCTTGGTTCTCGAACGGCTTAGTTGACGAACAAATTGGCTCCCAAACGCCAAAAACCTGGAACTGTTCCAGTTTTCAAATGTTTTTCAGAAGCTGAATGTCTGATGCGGTTGTTGGCTATTGACTTCCAGAATGGATTACACTTGAGAACCAAGGTATCACTGTAGATACTTGTATTATGCCCATCAACACTTTACACAGCATGGGGAGAATTTGCATTTGGAAATGCAAAAATTAGCCAAGTAAAAAGAAAAAGGTCCTGAGATCTTTCCGGCTTGCGGCATTTCAACCTACAGCAGCTTTCTTGTGCTTCAACCTCTTCACTACAGCATGTCTTTCTCCATGACAGGTAAGGATGCAGTAAAAGCCTAATCCCACTTTAGTGGCTGATGAAGCAGGAAAATGAAACACTGCTGCTCTTCTCTCTCTTTTCCAGCTGATTCTTTGCTCTTCTGCAGATGGAATCATTCAGTGACGCGTTTTAAAGCCTTGAATCAGCTTTGCACTCCCCCCTGACTTTTTTGAAGTTAATTTTTCAAAACAAAAACATTTTAAAACAGTGGCTAGGCTTTCCCATTGCCGGTAGGCAATAGATTTATCTCAGCTGTTTTCTTATTCCAAAGCTTCTCTCAGTAAACGGATGCAATGATTCTATTTGATTTGGTCCTAACCAGCGGACTGAATTATTTAAGTCAATTTCAATCATTTCATACTCACTGTTGCAATGTTTCATAGCCTTGCTCCTTATACAGTAATTCTTGCTTCATCTGCAAGAGTTCCCTCTTCAGCTTTTTAACCTTGGATGCAAAAACAAATTAGTGAGCCATTCGTTTAAGACAATGGAACACGTGGTTTGGATCAGCAATTGGTGTCCCCCCAAGCATTCACTCTTGGTTAGTTGAGGGACTGGACGTTACAACCACATGACACAATACCTCTGGGGGTTGCCTCACATGTCTGTGTGTGTAATGCTTGAATGTGGTGTCCTATCTCTAGACTTGTTAGCCCTTATTAGTTTTGGCACACTATATAAATCCGTTAGCTTCTACAGGAGTAACAGGCAATTTCCACTCTTGGATATGCTAATGCTTACTAATATGGTGTGAAAAAACTGTTCACAAAAGGACTAACTGCTCTGAAAAAGAGTGCAGCATGTGTGTCAGTGTTCAAGATATCCTGCTAGCAGACATAGCTGGTTTCAACACTACCAGCCTTGCCTATCACATATAAATAAGCCCTTGTTAGTATTTGTTGAACACAAAGGAATTCTATCTTCCTCTTGATGTTCCTGAACAAGCAACTAATGCAAGAGACCTGCCAGATTAAGACACCTCTTTATTTGGATAGCCTCATTATAGTAATTAAAGTTGAATTTAACATTTACTTGCTTAAGTTAATTTGTCACTGGATGTGTGCGCATGCCACCTGTTCTCATTCAAGAAACATAGCACCCACTGACATAGCTTGGAGAGAGAGAATGAAACAGAGAGTAAACATGCAAGTGGGAGAGGATCCCCAAAGGCCACTTTGTGTGTGTGTGTGTGTGTGTGTCTACACTACACTAACTCAGAAACCAAGAAGTTTCCATCTGGAAGTCAATCTACACATGCTACAATATGTGCTGCATTTAAAAACAACAACAACTTTATTTTCTGTTACAACATGCCTCTATAAACCACCAACAAGCATGAACATACCCTAAACCAAGTACAATTCATATTATTGGAACTGCCAAGTGCTATTCGTATTATTAGAACTGCCAATGTCCCCCCCCCCCAAATATGTGTTCATATGTGCATGCCACAAAAAACCCAGCAAACATTTCATTTGGATACTTGGGGATTTCAGTGCCTGGATGGCAAATGTCTAACAAGAAACACCACAGATGACACACATTTCCCCATAGATCTCAAATTAAGCATTCTTACCCTTAATCTTGTAGTGGAGATTTCCGCCTTCAGAATATCAGGGTCATACTTAGTGCTGGAAGAGGAGCTTGAAAATACTTATTAGGAAAATTTAAAGAAAATGGAAAACATATTTAACCAGCTAGGAAATGGCTCATTGTTTAATTGCATCACATTGCTGCATTACAGCCAAAGCTACAGCACGAGAACCACAAATATTCAAATACATTTTCTTTCTATCAACTGAAGAGCACCATAAAATTATTAGAAGATACACGAGTGAAAGTTAAACAAATGAACAAGCAACTGGCCTTTTTGGGGGTGTTTAAAACTGGCCCAAGATTAAAATTCATTTTGACACACCCATAATAGGGATGGAGGAAAAATTCATTCACTTTGCATTGTAACAGGAAACTACCTAATTTGCACTTCCTGAACCAGGATGCAAAATAAAACAGAACTATCCTTCAGAATTTGCACCTGACTGAATCTTGCAATGTAGTTCACTACTCAAAATATGTGTACAAAAATGTAACATATTAGGGCAAATTGCTTGCAAATTGCACATCAAGCAGAATTTCATTCAAAAATGTGTATGCTAGGAGAAAAGTGCACGAAAATGTACATATGCATATAATTTTTGTAGTGACTTTTTATATATATAGCAAACTGATGTGAAAATGGCTGGAAAAATAAGGAACTGAGAGGAATCGAAACTGACTGTTTCATCCATCACTAGTCTGGAGGTGGTTGGAGGATGGATGGCAGCTAACAGATTGTGGTTGAATCTCGACAAGACAGAAGTATTGTTTCTGTGGGACAGAATGCGGTAACTGAGCTCCTGAAGGAATAGCTACCCAACCTGGGAGTCATTTTGGACTCACAGCTGTCCATGGAGTCACAAGTTAATTCTGTGTCCAGGGCAGCTGTCTACCAGTTCCATTTGGTACACAGCTGAGACCCTACCTGGCTGCGTACTGTCTCACCAGAGTGGTACATGCGCTAGTTATCTCCTGCTTGGACTACTGCAATGTGCTCTATGTGGGGCTACCTTTGAAGGTGACTCAGAAACTACAACTAATCCAGAATGTGGCAGCTAGACTGGTGAGTAGGAGCAACTGACAAGACCATATAACACGGGTCCTGAAAGACCTACATTGGCTCCCAGTACGTTTCAGCGCACAATTCAAAGTACTGGTGCTGATCTTTAAAGCCCGAAATGATCTTAGCCCTGTATACCTGAAGAAGCATCTCAAACCCCATCGTTCAGCACGGACATTGAGATACAGCACAAAGGGCCTTCTGGTGGTTCCCACACTGCGAGAAATAAAGGTACAGGGAACCAGGCAGAGGGCCTTCTCAGTAGTGGCCCTGTGGAATGCTCTCCCATCAGATGTCAAGGAACTTTTAGAAGACAGCTGAAGGCAGCCTTGTACAGGGAAGCTTTTTAAAGTTTAATGTTTTACTATGTTTTCATATATGCTGGAAGCCACCCAGAGTGGCTGGGGCAACCCAGTCAGATGGGCGGGGTACAAATTTACTACTACTACTACTGCTGCTACTACTACTACTATTACAGCAACAAATGAATGAATAAATACAAATACCGTATTTCTAAGATACATACAGCTTGTATGAGAACTTGATTTCTCCTTGTAAGCATCATTCAGCCTCACATATTCATCCAAAGCAAGTGCTAGTCTCTGTTCTTTCACATGGTACAGTTCCTTCTGAGTGCTGAGTGCATCTTGTGCTACTGTAAGATAATCTTTCAGCATTTTCTCTTGTTCTTGCCTCCATTGTTTTCTTGGATCTTCTATCTGTGTGGTTTCTGGAGAAACACAGTTGTAAAAGCTTTTATTTAGTAAAATAAAACTGGTCAATCTTAGCCACGTTCAAATTAATGATGTCCAAAGGACTTGTTTAAAAAGCTTTGTTCTATTACCTTGCTAGTTTTAAGTGACATCTTTACTGAATCACATTTTGAACCTCTGCATTATCTACCCATTTTTCACCGGACCCAAGCAAGACATACATACTCAAGCAATACAATGGGTCAGAGTAGACCCAAAGAAAATAATGAAAGTCAGTTAATTTTGATAGCTCTACCCTGAAAAGGACTAACACTGAATACAACTGATGGATCCAATAACATTTTTGTCCCACGGATATTTAGGTATAAAACATGTTAAGAACTGAGATTACTTCCAAAGTATCTTAGGACTGAAGAAGTTTAAAAGAAAAAGCAATTTTTACATGCAGCATGTATGTTATGCTCTATGTTCTTTACTACTTTCAGCCTGCTGTTCTCCTATATAAAAGGCAGAAAAGAATGTTTAAACCTTTAAGGCGTTTCAGATAAAGATTCAGGTTTTAAGAAGATCTCAGGTCAATGAGTTCAATTTATTTTGATGAAAGATGCTATAGTGTATAACTCTTAAACAGTACTTTACATCTTCAAAGCTCTCTAGGAAAACATTAATCCAAGATACAGATTTAGGTTCAAGTGCTTCTCCTAGCTCTAGCGTTAGTTACATATACTTCTCTAAGACACTTTCTCTACTTTTGCCTACTTAAATTATCCAGTGCAAACAGTAACTCCAATGCACCACAACAGACTTTAAACATATGTTTGGTTAGCTTCTGCTGCAGCAGAGGAAGGTCCCTAGTGGTATCAATTGCCAATAATGCTCAATAGTCCTACACATTTAATCTTCCTACTGCTACACTTTGATGTGAATTCAAGAGGCAAGTAAATGAGGAAGTAGCTCTTTTTTTAAAAAAGAAAAAGGAATCAGAATGCTTCCCATGCGCCCCCTTAAACTCAAATACAGTTTATGTAGGTACATTTCTATGGAAAGTTTT